TTGTTTTATGTAAATAATTGATGCAACATGCTCTGAGGACCAAATGAAACCCTTGTAATGCTTGAATAAAGGCAAGAAGCACTGAGAGGAACGTCTGCATGAGATTCACAAGCAAATTTGTTCAAAACTGCGATAAAGGAAAGAGATGTGGATGTCAGAAAGTCGTTCGAAGTAACAGCAAAAGGGTTAATGAAGCGCACTGAGGGTAAACATTCAAAGAAGATATTCAGTAGAAGGGGAAGCAAAACAGAAACTAGAGGAATCGTATAGACGAAACGTGCTGCAACCTACATTATACTTCATTTCTAAGAATTAAGTTCAACAGGAAACCATTACAAAGTTACAAACAAGCCTATTTTGTGACAACAAAAAAAGAGAAAAAGTGCGAAAAGAATACCTTTATAATATCTTCTGTCACTTCTGTACATGCCAGCCTATCGTTGCCGACTTCGTGGGAAATGTACTTCTGGGTGACAAAACGCTTTTTAGGTTCTTGTATTGATAAGAGATCGTCCTCTTTACAGTTCCAGTACTCTCTTGCCAACTAAAACGAAATTGGCTGAGTCAATAGAGGGAAAGCACACTTACAACGACAACTGGAGATGCATGTAAAAAAAGAAAACAACACGCGAAAAAATCAATTAAAACGAAATATTGTACTCTCAGCACCTCTGTGAAAAGTGATATGTCACTTTGACCACTATAAACAGGAGTTAAGAAGGTGACTAATAGCAACATAGACGACTTATTCAGTATCCGAGCAAACTGTTCCGTCATAAGCTCCGTATTTTTGTCTGTAACATACTCATATGAAATATAGTAAAAATAAACAAATAAATAGTAATAAATAAGTAATATATAATAAAAAATAAAAAATGAAATATAGTAAATAGTAACGGAGACAAAATGCAAAAGAAATAACTTAATAGCAAACATGCAAGTGATCAGTTTGAAAACAACGCTAGAACATGGCATCACTTATAGAAATTATACAAAATTTCAGGAAAAAAATTCGGTAGCAACAGCTTACTGAAATGAAGCCATTTGATTGGAGAAACTTCAGCCTGCTTATGTCGAACCCAGTCCACTATATTCGAAGCAGTAGCCTGAGTTCCGTACGACCATTGAAACTCATAATCTTAACAGCTACAATGATCCCTTAGCATTAGCGAACTATCAATAAAAGATCAAGTTAAATGAATTCAAAAAATGGCTTTGGTACCTGCGCCCTTAGGGCGCAAGCATAGCTGGTCGTCCGACAGCAGCGACCATAACGGTCGCACAGCCTTAGATACGTATCGACCGTCGAATACTCAGGCAAGTCCAATGCTGTGCGACAGTTATGATCCTTGCTGTCGAACGACCGACTATGCATGCGCGCTTACTAACAGCATAGAAGGAATCAAAAAAGAAAGTGCAGAGAAAAAATCACCCTCAAGGCTGTACATGATCAGATCGCCCTCGAAACGCATGCCTATCTCACGAGCCATTCGTTCACTCGTTAAAACAGCGAGACATGTAAACTGGTCCTCTAGAAGACATTAATTAATGATTTACTACACAACACTGATAAATAATACTGATACCTTGTGTACCAGTTTGTAGCATCATTCCAGCAGCTGCAAAAGCACGGTACCCGGATGGAGTGTTCATATTCTGCAGAGCTACATAAGGTAACAGAGAATACGCACGCGAAGAAGAGAAGAATATCATTAGGTATTGAGCTAACCTTGAAAGGAAAATATCCAACCACCATTGTGTGGAACTCTCTCTTCATTTCCTCTAGCTGTTCCAACGAACGAATGACATGTAAGGGGTTTCTCACATTGACTATCCATCTGAAATAGCTAGAGATGATCCAAAAAAAAGTTCTAGGTTAAAGGAAACAAAAGATAAAAGCAGAGAAAAAATATTACGATTAAATTGATAGCAAAACGAGATCAACGCAAAACAATAATGTTTTCATTGAAGATAATCGAGACTTGATCTACAATGAAGTTAAGAACATTTTAAAGAGGTTAGTTGACCACCATCATTCCACAACAGTGCGTTAACAACAATAAATAATCACGCATTGTTTGGCTTTCTTTATCTCCCTGATATTTCTTCGAAGTTCTGGAGGAAAACGAAACGCTCGCTTGTAAATTGTCGCCAACAAGGAGGTCTTTCAGGGCAAGCCACGCTTTTTCAAAACGGTTTCTTGCATATTGTAGGGACGCATGTAGGGAACACAAAACCATGTTTCATTTTCGCTGAACGGTTTAGCAGTACCAAAAAAGAAGCATAAGGTACTGTTAATGGTTCGATCCCCCGTGGCGACTAAATTTTGCATTTGGGTTGGCGCCTACGGTTTGGTGCCAAATCGCGCTAAATATCAAAATCAGATGTCAATATTCATCGTCAGGACCATTTTGAAGCCAACAAGTGGCCGCCAACCTTGATTGCAAAATTTAGTCGCCGCGGGGGATTGAACCATCAATAGAATCGTTCACTATTCAAAAGCGTGGCCTGCCCCGAGTGACCCCCTCGCAAGATAGCAAAAAGAAACAGACTGAATTATGCACGCATTGAATGCAAAGATTAATAAATGAATCTTGAGAGCAACGACAA